AACCAAAGAGGTTAGCTTAGTACTGTTGATTTAACATCAGATGTGTTCTTAATTAGGCATGTGTGTAAATAAAATCAAATTTCCTTCTCAGTATTTTGCTTTGAAGACTGTAGTACCAGCATACTTTTTGGAAATGGTACAGTTAACAGTTGTAAGAGAACGGATGGTACGTGAAAATGCAGTCTGTTTGCTATCCTTTAAAGAGGAGGACACCAGTGGCAAACCGCAGCGTGGTTTGTCACCTGCAGAGTTTGCCAGACTCCAAATAATAGTTTCAGTTTATCAAATATTTTGTTTATATTGTCTTTTCTGTAATATACATATTATACATAGTTTTATATGTGAATACATTACACCTTCAGAATGTTCTTATTGTGTGGTGTCACCTGAATGGCTCAGTTAATACATTTTTATCTCTGAGAGCCTCGTAATTATGTTTTGTGTATCATACCGTGTTGCCCAGAAATAATATAGACAGTGTAACCAAAGTGAAGCTAGCCGCAGAGAAGAGCTGTTGCTACATTTCTTGGCTGTTTATGCAAAACAGTGGTGAGAGGATGTAGCGCAGCATTTGATCAGTAGGCTCGCACCAGCTTATTGGTAGTAACTGGAGAGCTTCATGTGTAGGATAAATAACTTCTGTGGTAAAGTATCCCAGCAGGTGGGATATCAGTGAAATATTGTAATGATGTGAAGTTGGTATTTCTTGTCCATGCTGCCATCCAGTTTCAGGAAGAGAGACTATGAATTGTTGCAATTCTGATATACTGGTATTGCCCGTAGGAAATGTTACTTCCGAGAATTAAATTATTGCAATTAACGATACAGAACTAAAGCTTTGTTTCTTTATAGCGGCTATTCCCACAAATGTTTATGATGACTTTTCTGTACCACCAAAACCTGTTTTCACATTCACCTTTTCAGTATAATCCCTCAAGCTGGACATTGATATAGACTTCCTTGGTGTGGGATTTAAATCTGCAAATCCCCACTCATTTTATAGAACTGCAAAAAATTGCAATTGCCTTGTTCGCGCTGGAAGCATTTGTACTTTTGCGTTTCACCATGTACCTAAAACTGAAGTCTTAAAACTTTGCATACTGTGTAGTGTATTAGAATATAAAATAAGTAAACAAACAACTGTTAACACTATTAAAAAAGACACTACTGCCATACGCGTTTCAACCTCAAGAGGTCATCATCAGTGGCATCAAGGAAATTAATTCATTTAATATAATGGTTTAAACTGGATTTAGAAAATAAATAAGGTGTTTCACAAAAGTATTTCAAGCGATACTGCACTAGATGTTATTCGCAGAGTATAACTATGCACTTAGCTATTGATCCGACGGTTCGGTGGCCGTAGCTGGTCTGCGGCGAGCTGTGTTTGCGTCCGTACCTGTGAACTATTTTCTAAATCTAATTTAAACCACTTGATTAAATGAATTCATTTCCTTGATGCCACTGATGATGACCTCTTGAGGTTGAAATGCATATGGCAGTAGTGTCTTTTTATATAGTGTTAATAGTTGTTTGTTTACTTATTTTATATAAAAATGAAATATTTTATTCAGCATACTCTGTCTCCCCTCCACTGCTTTACCCGTGTAACCGAGAAACGTAATTCTGGAAGAGTACAGATTTGCTTATAATATGGTAGCTGTTATTTTGTAGAACTTGTGCAAATATTTCTGTTTCAGTAGCAGTCTCCAGTGATTCTCCAGGGTATGTAACGAACTACCACAGAAGACTCATGTATAAATGAATGTGGCTATTTTCTGGGTTGTAGCGCCATGTAGTCTGGTAGAAGTTTAATGACATTTCAGAGGTACTTGCTGCCTCGATCATCAGGGCAATGACTCTCATTGCCCTGATGATTATCCTCTGAAATGTCAGTAAACTTCTACCAGACTATTCAGTGCTACGACCCAGAAGATAGCCATCTTTGTACTCGCCACCACGAGAACCTCGAATCCTACAAACTTAAGAAATTACAGTGCTGTAAGTTGGATTAGTGAAACTTCTTTTCATACGAGCTGTAAGTTAACTTCGTGTACAGAGCTTCGCATATTGCTGTGTCACATGTGCAGTTGAGTTTCAGAAGGGTATGTCTGTCTCGCTTCGTGCTGTGTAAACACAGTGTTGTCTGCTGTGCACTCTGACACAGTAATGTCAACTCTTAGTTTCCTCTCGTTGGCCATCTGTGTTCTGGCGCCGGATGCAGTTGATATATTTTCTGGCTGCGCTGATTTGTTGTTCTCTTCAGTGGTGGTGGCGCTGCTTGCTGTTGTGTTCACTATCTCGGAGTAGAGAGGTGGTGAGATGCTCCATATGTCGGTAACCTGAGAGACAGAAATGCACCGTTTCTAAATTGGAGGGTTCTAGCTTCGAAATGGCCTTCCTATACTTTCTACGTGTCATTAACTGCAGAATAAAGAAATAATATTTCCCTGACATGTGGGATGTGTAGTTCCCTACTTCTCCTGGCAGACAACATTCAGATGGTTGATATCCGACATTCTGTAACATTTGACTGTCTATACATTGCGTTATATGTTTGTTGATTTGTACATTATTTACATTTTGCATGAAGATCTAGGTTTTGGATTTTTTTGCGTACACAGTAAGTAGAAAGAACATAATTTTTCATTAATTTATAACCACTAAATCAGGTATAATATTTTGGTTACTAATATTTCCTTTATAAATTTTGATATTTGTAGGAGTCCATGAATATGTTTTTTGTTGTGCCTTTAACGAGTCTTAATCTGTGTATTCAAGATGTTGACTAGAAAATCCACCTTGAACTGTTTTCAGAAAAAAATTACTCTTCAAGATGCAGCAGAAATTTGAACATGATCTGTTTTGGGAGGGGAATAAAGCCAGTTGCCATGTTACTCTGTGGAAATTGTGTTATCTTAATTTAGCTGCTGTGATTTCTGCACACAATAATGACTAAGAATTAATTATTTTCACAATTTTTATTATTGAAAAGTTTGAGCTGTTGAAGGGAATCCCAATTCATATATGCGTATGCCAAACACTTTGGCCACATTACGAAAACCTCAACATAAGTCTTTATCTGAACCAATTATAATATGTCTGCACATGTTTAAAAATATTCTGATACAAAATTTTGAAAATTAAAAAGTGAGTATATACAGTATAAAACAAGTCTGAAGGTACCTCATAGTTTGTTACAGTCTCTCGATATGAAGGTGGCTTCTCTAGTCTAATCTGGTTATTATCTTCATATCGTGGTGGTCGATCCCTTAGCCGCTGGAGGATGAATTGCTGCATGGATGTGAGGCTGCTCCCTCGTTCATGAAGTAACGATGACGAGTGTCCATTGCGACTGTTAGAACATGAAACAGTTAAAATAGTTACCGCATTACCGTTGTCATCCTAGAGCAGCAGACTAGAGGATCATAAACAGAACTTGAATTTCAGATGTCAGGTCGTCATTACTTCTACAAGGAGTGCAGGGTCACTTTGATGATCTGCTTTTGTACTGTTATTTTATTTGTAACTTATTTAACTCTTGTCAGGTTAGGTTGTCAGACATTCCTTTTCCTGATGTGATTTTGTTTTGATGTTTGAGGCTTCTCATGTTCATACAGTTTAGGTTAAAAGAACATCCTGGACAGAATCATGTGCACTGTAGGCTAACAGTTTGAAAACCCAGTGCAGACTATAACAATTTTGCAGTATAAGTGTGTTTTATCACAGTTCACACTTCATCAGTAAATCTTTATAAACTCACCGTGGACATGTCTTCCAGAACAGAGCTGCAAGGGCCAAAAGGGCTATTGTAAGGGCTGATCCAAGTGCCACTTGGGCACCCAAAACAAAGGAATCACTGAAACAAAGAAATTTTTGTTGCTGTTGGTCTTTGGGTAATAATGCCACGCGAACTCTGAGCTAGATACCTATGTTTCAGAGGAGTATGTTCCTCCAAATACTGAAATTGACATGTATGTTAGTATTTAACCCCTTGCGTTGATTTGCTCTCCCTGGAATGTGCATTTCATTTTCAGTGATGCCATGATTCCAGCATTGTACTTGTATTTATTAACCAAAATGTTTTGATATTAGTCTTCTTGATTGTGATGCTTTGGCTTCTGACATTTTGAGGAATGTACTTTCTCAATGTTTGGGATTCTGTCTTGTTTATCTGTGGATTTTCATTTTGGTTTAGAGTTTTTTGGAAACCTGGACGACAAGGGTTCTGAAGTCAAAAAAGTCTGGGAAACATGTTTTAAAGGTATGGATGTGTATCCAGTAGTGGCTCTTACTTGCAGTTGTTCCAACAGACACAAGTCTTGATATGATCCCCAACACATTTATATCTGTTTGCAGGATAGCAGCAAGACTCACATTGACTATTTGGGCCTGCCAAGATCAAACAGAATCAAAGCTGTAATTAGTTTCTGGTAAAGCTAACTGAGAAAATTTATCTAAATACTCCGTAGCATGACAGAAATGAAGTCTTACCAATCTGATATTTATACAGAATGATATAGGGATATCTACTTGGTTCAAACCTAAAATTTAAAGAAACTTGTCTGTGATAACTGAATTTTTCTACATATGACAAAGATTTTCATTTTGGTAATTGTACCTGAGATGTGTGAAGGAACAAGATGCCAGGGAAAGTGTCATAATGAGGAACTTCATAATTTGCACTCTTTACCATTGTTATGATGAGTAATTCAAGGAGAGTTTGATGGGAGAGGCTGTTATGATGATTAATTCAAGGAGAGTTTGATGGGAGAGGCATATAACATACATAGCAGAGGTGATACATGCTTACAAAGTTTTGTTGGGAAATCTGAAGGGAAGATTACTTGTTTGACCTAGGCATATGTGATAGGATAATATTAGAACTAGTCTCGCACAAACAGATGCAATGATGACAATCTTCGCATAAAACTAATTTTTTACACTATGATACATTAAAAAGGAGGTGGAATGCCTCTCAATACAATGACTAGACCTACAGGCTGGACAACCATGATTCAGTTTGCAGCAGGGCAGAAGTACTCTTTGCCACAATATCTAGGGCCCATTCAGTCTCCTATCCAGTGGGTAATGGAGTTCTTTCATCAGGGATAATGCAGTTTGGGCACAAAAATAAACCACTCACCTTCATCTTGTGCTGAGGTTAAGAGAGCATGGAGCTATACCTCCAAAGCCCCATATGTCTGCATGGTGTGCATTGTTAAGTATAAGGGACAACTAGATCTTATGACAGACTTGACACAATTTCCTTTCATCTGTTTTAAAATATAAATATTAATGTCATTGAGACAGGTGTATCATGTTTTCTGTCAACATTTGGTTTAGAAGGACTTTATCAAAGGCTAGCAGAGAATTATTTAAAAGCTAGAACAATATCTCCTTTCTGACCTGGACATCGTGTGCAGTTATCCTGATCGTCAATAAAATACCCTTTGTCACATTCACACTGTTTTGTCTTGTTGCATGAAGAATATGCCTTGCAGTTCAAATCTTTAACACAAGATGAATCTGGAAAAGCAAAGTGCACTCAACATCATATTCATAATACTCAGAATTTACTCGAAACAAAATCTGAAAGTTCACAATTAATTCCCAACATACAGTCATCACATCTGATGAAGGCAGAGACAGTTTCTAAAGTGTTGGATCCTAACTCTGTTCTCAGATGTCTGATCACCTAAAAAGACTTGCAATCTGAACTCTAGAAATTTTGCATTTCTGCTTTATCACTTCCTGTAGATAACCCAACATCTTTCAAGTTTATAATTTCCTGATAAGATAAAATGCCATTGTCTTTCCAGAAATAGAATTAATGCCCTGATAACAAAACAGAAGTACAGTTCCTTTGTATTTTACATTATTGCATGCTATGAATATCATCATAGCAGATTGCAACATATGTGACAGCAGCAAAATGTTACAGGTTGGTACAATGCCTAATGTAATGTCTCAAACTCTGGCAATTTTCATCCACGCAGAGAATCGGAAGGAACAGGAGCTGAGCGTCTTGAATTAGTTATGCTGATGATGTGAATCTGATAAACAAAGCCATTCATTACCAGTTATTTTTATTATTCGATGCATGAACTATATGCGAACCAGGTTTATCATAAGGATTGCAATGAAGTGAGTTCATACATTAGTTTTGCTGCTTGTAGGCATTAGAAAATGTAGCATATGAAATTATCATAACCTCAGAATTGTAAGATATTTATAAGTGACCTTTCATTACAGTTTATAAATGTGTGGTAAGTTTACACATAATGCATACATCAAATCTAAAACTTCATCCTCAATATTTCTGAACACTCTCTTACAAATATGAAGTACATAATGCATACACTTCATTTTTAAGCATTTTATAAGTGTTCCTTTAACTTCCCTTTGTATTCCTTGTATATTTGATATACCTCAATTTAGGTTAGGGACAGATGAGTTAATTATAAAAGCACCCACATATCTACAGGAAGAATATTTTGTCCATTTCTTCACTCCTTTGATTTTGATGTCATGTAGCTTCAGATACTTTCAGGTGTGTATACTTTTTGTGTTTTCTTATCTAAATAAAAATGCTTTCAATGCACTATTAAATACATTCTCCATCATACACCAACCACATTAACTATGGCATTTAATATAATCAGAGAAGGCAGAACCTTGTTGCAATGTAGAGAACAGAAACTTGATAAAAGTAATTAATGTATGGCATATGAAATATCATGACAGTGTATATGCATATTATGAATTATTGAAAGTATGTGTATTTATACCACCAACAAAACTCACTGTGGTTCATTCTAGCAGCTTGCTGGGATGTAACCACTGTTGAAATACAGACCAGTATCACCAGAACGTCCATGATAGTACTCATTGAGGGTGTACCGAGATCACTACGTATGTCTCACTTGTAAGGCAGACTGATAAGATAACCTTGTTAGAACCTGAACAGGTGGTCTCAAGGATATTTAGTGTATTATGCCTTGTTGCTTCCGATATGAAGCCAAGTCTTATCACAAGGCTTTAGTAAATTGCTTTCTAAGACCTGTTATCTGGCGAACTTCTATATTTTCATAATTTAACGTGCTATGAAATTAGTAAGTAGCAATACACATAAATTTTAAACTATGATTTGTTCTAAAACCTCTAGTCAAATGTCAAACTGTAAGTGAAGTCTCAGCTGATGAATACTGCACATTTCACGTGTTTTGACGTGTGTGGAACATAGCTGGATTAATGTTTGAAGGTGAAAACCTGAGAATGCTACTTGATTTAGCATTATGCAGGGGTAATTTTAATACTGGGTTGCATTTCCAATTTATTGCCTATTTTAAAACTCTAAGAGTTTCCACTGAGTTACCAGAACAATATCATAGCCAGGTCATACTATTTAATGCAATGAATAAAATTGTAAAATATAATTGTAATTATTTATTTGTTTAAAAAGTACATACAAAATATGTACACCAGATAAAATTTACATTATCAAGATGGGCCACTTGTACGACATTTGACGGCCACAAGGGTAACATTGTTAATATAATATCATGCAATGATATCACATCATGCATCAGCCATTTATTATTTATTTTAGTGACAGCTCACCAGTTGGACAGTTCGTCATTTATCCTAGTTCGCGTATGTTGACACACAGAAGCGTGGGTATAATATATAGAAGGCTTGATGAGTCATTCATAACATGTTTCTATCTCCAAGTATGTACGTTCTGCGGGGTTAGGGAGGGGTTACTAAGGAGGCTTTGGAGAGAGAGAGATAGGTCTTTGCTACTTCTGACGAATGATATCCTATGAAGTTGAGTGCACTACAGTTTACTGGGGCTCGCGTGGTGTGCCAAGGGGGAAGCAACACAGAACGAATTTCTCGCGTGTACAGTCTGCATATTAGGAAGAGATTAAACAGCGAAAAGAAAAATTCAACAAAGCAGGTAAATAAATATTAAACGCATATATTTATAGGAAGGGTTTCTCTGCTTTTCAACTTTCACGAAGAATCGTTTACTCGCATTAATATTTCTAATTATGCTGTAAACACAAAGTTTTATCATTTGTGTACTGTTAAGACGGCTTAAAATTGTCACTCGTAACGTCTGTTTTATAATAGCAGAAGCCCCTGATGACTGTATTTGATGATATTAAAATTTACAAGAAGTTGAGAGTTGTATTTTACATTTCGTTGTAGGGACGCTCCGCCATTGTGTTTTTAAACGTCGGCCCCAAAAACAAAGTGTTATAACAAATCAGCGTTTCAAGGCGAGTGATAATTTGGGTTTTGCTGTATTTTGGATCTACCAAAGGTAGTAATTTTGGTCGACGACTAGTCAGTTCGAAATGAAACTACGTGCATTTGACGAATTGTGGGTTGTTGTGTGTAGCTGTGATATTCGTTTGGTTGCCAGGTCCCACTAGCGTCTTCTATAGCCCACCCAATAGACTTAGGGTCGAAGAATTAGAAATGTCGACGTGAGCTCAGTTTAAATAAAAACAACTATAGTAACGCGAGATTTCAGATTCTCACGACAGGGAGTATGAAAATGTCTGTATTTTGGGTTGTTGCGCTTTAGGCCTGTAGAAGTTTGCCGACGTTTCAGAGGTGCTTTCTGCCCCATCGACCTGATGATGGAGGTAGCAAGAACCTCTGAAACGTCGGCAAACTTCCGCTAGGCTACACGGCACACGCACAATCCAGAAGACAGTCATCTTCTGTTATAATAATGTCGGAAATGTTTATTGAAATGATCAGTACAATTGCAAAGTTCATTGAACTTCGGAGTTGTATGGCGTTAGAGTGAAAGTGGGGATTGGAAATAAAATGCTAGAAACAATAAAAGTTAGTAGAATATGAGGGAGAACTCAATAAATTGGACTGCCTGCCTAGAACAGATGAGTAATACTACGTCTATGTTTTATGGATCATGGCCGATGAAGGAGGCGGTTGGCGATCGAGGGCAATGCGTGCCTCACCCCTGTACTTGTATGTATTAGAACTGCCTTTTCTCCTTGTATCGTTTGTCTTTTTATGCGTGCTTTTATTAACAACGACAATGAAGAAGGAATTGAGAAAGTTTCCAATAAACGAACACTTGTTTAAACGCCTTGTATTGATTGCTATTGGTAATGGTGGATTGGTTTGACAACATTATCGATCCCGCCTTAATGTTTTGAATAACTGGCAATTATATATTAACATTATTTAGTGTTCTGTCTGACGACAGGTCCATATGAACAGGATCCTTCCATCCTTTTCTCGGACTGGGACCTGTTCATATACGTTCTTGGCAGATGATCCAGAAGTGGTTTGCCTTCTTCTGTGTGTGAATGGAGTAATTGTTGGGATGCCACGGAG